TTTTCAACCAAACACAATCTAAACCATCAGTTCATTACATATATCAACCAAGCACAATCTAAAAAACCTAATGGACATGACCATCACAACATCAAAACCATCACAAAGTCAGTTCACCTTCAGCTAATGGACATGACCATGACCATTTCTACCAAACACAATCACAATAACAACCAAAACAACAACAATCAAACAAATCATCACTACACAAATTTTCCTTTCAAGGTTTTTTACTTGAGTTAAGGTCTTCTCAAGAACCAAAATGACTTCAGCATTCTTGTGACCTTCTACCTCAAGCCCTGTCACTTTTTTTCAAGCTCCTCAAGCCAACTCGAGCTTACTTCTTTCACACCCGACCTATCATTGTGCTGTTTTTCCATGGCCACCTTGTCCCGTAGCTTTTCTTCTAAAACCTCTTTTTGAGCCTTCAATTTGATGAAACATTTCTTTTGGAATTCAGGCAATGAGGGATCAATCCATTCAAAGAAACTACAATCATCTACCTTCTGCTTATCAATAAAACCTTCAAATAAAATATATCTTTTTGCTAAACAAAATTGCATAAAAATTGCAGAACAAAATACAATAATAACTTACATTTCTAGATGGACACCTGTAGAACCTCCGACATGGATTTTCGTTAGTCATTGAGGTCAAAACAACAGCCTCTTCCAAATGGCGGCACTGCTTCCGCACTGGGATATTGGATGAAGCGCTATGTTGTGAATTTTGGCTTGTTGAGACGAGTACGACATTGTCAGGGGATGAAGTTGCAAAATTAGGCAAAATTTGGGGAAGAACACGATCGATAATTGTTAGAGGATAAAGCTGTGAAATTAGGGCAAAATTTGAGGAAGAACACGATCGACAATTTTAGGGATGAAGCTGCGAATAAATAAGATCGAAAATTAGGGTTCAATGGATGTTGGTACTTGTACGACTAAACTTTGGGGAAGAGGACGATCGAGGGCGATTTTTGAATTTGGGGAAGAGGAAGATTTTGAAATTAGGGTATGGGTGGTGGTTTGATTTGGGAGAAAATGAGTGTTTTATAATGTCTTTACCACGTCACAACACTGAGAAGCAAGTTAGTCCACGTAGGTAGAGCTTAATGGACACGCTGGCAAAAATGAGACGGCCGTTTGAATTTGGGTTCGGGTTGCAAACATGGGACAAGGTTAGGTTATTTTTGCTAAATCCCAAAAATTTGGTTAAAAGGGCAAAAAGTTGTAAGGTCGTGCTTTTACCGTCAATTAGGCTTTAATTAATTAAGGAGCCCTTTTTCTAATCTCCTAAGGGTCCCTATTGTAGCTCTATATATACATCATTAAGCTCATGTGAAGAGAATAGATGATCTCACAATTCTCGTGACTCACGCCGCCCCCATATTCTCTCTCAGTTCCCATTCGAGTTTTATCTTCTTCTTGTTGTTCCACGTTACAAGATTAAGAGGTGTTTGAGACATACAGTGGAAGATCTGTAGGTAAACCGAGACGAAATATATTTTATCGTACATAACTAACCGGAGGTCCGATCAAGACTTGCAGCATACCCAGAGGGCCGCCTCGACAAGAGCTTTCCAACGCCGCTGAGATTGCCGCCATCCGACACCTAACGCGCCCTCACGCGCCGCCGCAAGCTCCCAGGACTGCAAGCTTGTCTTCATCCGTTTGGACCCGTTTGATCTGGTTTTCGATCCGATCTTGTTCGTACAACCCTAAGACGTGATTTGCAGTCAACTTTTCATTGGTGTGTTGTGTACGGCCATCCAGAAGATCAGTCAGATCGCCATAAATTTTAAGCCGTAAGTTCTCCACGCAAACCTTTAGATCCGTTGCCCAAAGGTTTACGTTTTGCTATTAATTCGTGATTTGTACATAACGTGATTCTCATAGATCCCAACATATATAACATATATATTTAAAAATATATAACAATAGAGAAGGGATGAGATTTTTTATGTGATGAGATTCTGTAAGCTTAAGATGAGATTTTTTGTAAGATGGGATTTTTTTTAGAATCAGATGTTTTAAACTTACCAATACCGACTTTTGGGATAAATACTTAATAAATTTATTCTTTGTATATATATACATATTCAAAACATCTAAAATATTATATCACATATAAAAATCTACATATAAGATTTTTTGTACGAATGTTTTAACCAATACCGATTTTTGGGAGAAATATGTGATAAATCTTATTCTCTTTATATATATATATATTAAAAACATCTAAAATATTATATCACATATGAAGATCTACCTACCCGTGTATATATTATAAATATAAAATATTATATAACATATATATTTAAAAATATGTTACAATTGAGAAGGAATGAGATTGATGAGATAAATTTTGTAAGGTTACGATGAGATTTTTTGTAAGATGAGATTTTTTTACGATCGAATTGTTGAAACTTACCGATACCGAGATTTATCTATAATGATTAAATTTTTAAAGTCTGCCGACTTATTAAACAATTCCGACAACAAAAAATTGTAACAAATTCCACATTTTAAGGACAATATTTAAGGCTGCCCGTTTTTAGGTAACAAAAAATTAGAAAAGAAAAGAAGTTACCATAAATAGCATGTAATTAATGCCATGAGAGTTTGAACAAAATTTGACTTAATATTATTAAAAAAAAGATATAGATTTAAAAACTATGAAATGATCTTGTAAGGACAAGAAGTTTTATGAAATAAAATTTAAGAAAGAGGCTCGTTTCCGAGTACTTTCTTCGTGATAAATCGAGATTGATTCCACCTTGTTATCGTGTTCAAACCAAGACCGTTAGCGCGAGGTCTTACACATAACCAAGTCCAGAGAGGCAAATACACGATCTTCATCAGTAGTTCTTAACCACACATTTCACACGTGGGTGACTGTGGGTGTCTATGTGTAAATGTGTGGCAGTGTATGTGTGTTAGACATGGCCACGGGTTGACCCGGCCCGCCGAACCGGCCCGAACCCGGACCGAACCCGGCCCGGACCGGCCCAGACCCGGCCCGGAAAATCCGGTTTTCGAACCGGAACCGGCCTTGTGGAGGGCCAGTCCCGAGCCTCCTTCGATCCAAAAAAAACCGGCGGGCCGGTCCGGGTTCGGGCCGGGTTCGCGTGTTTTGAGCTGCCGGTTTTTAAAAAAAAATTGACCGGGTTGGCCCGGCCCGAACCCGGACCGAGCCCGGCCCGGACTAACGGTCGAAAATTTAAAAAATTCAAATTTCAAAAATTAAAAAAAATAATAATAATAATAATAAAAGACCGAACCCGGAAACCCGCCGGGTCGACCCGAAACCCGGCGGGTTACCGGGTTCAACGGTAACAAATTAAAAAAAAAAAAAAAA